AGCTTTTATCTATTTTATTGTGTCTGAAATGACTGTATGTGTGTGTGTATGGTTTGGGGTTGGTCTGCTGGGTGGTCGGGTTGACGGGTAATGGGCATATGAGTCTGTTATTTTAACCAGAATGTAAAGCCCATTGCGATGAATTTATTATGAAAAGCACTTACAATTTTGAAGTGGATACATTTTTTTATTCAAATCTGTAGAAAATGTTGTATTTTGAAGTTATTTTTTTGTTTGTCCATATTATCCAAGATAGTCAGATCTGACCTATATAGAATATATTTAACATCTGCTTAATTTTTCTTGATGACGTTGCCATGGTACCAAAATGGAAGAGTCAGCAGGAGGCAATGGACAGTCTATCCATTATTCAAACTCATCCCATCCCAGCCTATGAAATGGAAAAGTCTGCTGTGCCCAACATTTTGCGTAGAAGCAGTCTCAGCTAACAGCATTTATATGTAGATTGGAACAGGTCATCCACGTTTGGGTCGTGTCCTTTAACGTTACCTCATTTTACTCCCGTGACATTTTGTCTTTTGGCAGAATGGCAAAGATTAAGCCCGGCTCACCTTATGCTCGGTGACACAGTCCAAATCCATTGGAAACTTTTGGCTCGGGGATATTCCTTTAAATGACTCAGCAGATGTCAGATGTAACTGCAGTTATAGATCCACCTGACAATCACAAATCAATTCAAATCATGCACTTTTAGTCCAGAACAGCTGTCATTTCATATTCTTCATATTCAATAGAATGGATGTGAGCCCTACTTTAGCCTGGGATTGCTTTGACAAATAACATTGTAATCAAAATACAGTGCTATATGCTTTATATTAAATTTACCTTACTGCTTTGCATGGACACCACTTGAGAAACTGCTAGTTAAGGGTTTCTCTTCTGCAACATTGTTAGATGTTAGATTGTTAGATATTTTTCAATCGTCAAATTGACCTTGAAAAGCAAATCAATACCAAGTCCATGAAAATAAATATGGTGATTAAGCATAATCATTTTCACTTAGCTCCCTTCAATCTTAATACTGGCCATTTGAATACATACAGTTTAATATACATTCAGAAAGAGGTTAGACTTATAGCTCAGCTTTTGATTGCCAGTGCATAAATATAAATATTGATAGAGAAATAATGAAAGTGTTGGTGCCTGGCTTTTTTCCCTGAAGGAACCTTTTGTTGAAGAATGTGTCAGTTTCACAATTGGTTTGTGCAGAGCTGTTATTGAGCTGACTCAGAGCGTCCACAGATCCACCTGCAGAGGGCTGCGCTGCCATAGAAAGGCTGTGATAGCTGGAGAACATACGGCTGTGTTCAAATCGGCCCCATCAGAACCATCAGGGGCAGTGAACGAGGCTCGCTGATGAAAGAACACACTCGGTTTCCATTCAGCTGTGATTGGAAATAACAGTCATAATTACCGCAGAGTAATCACATCCCCGAGCTGTGAGTGTCAGCATCACTCTGACTGTCAAAACAGATCAGCCGTCTGCAGGAGCAGGACAAAAGCAGAGGTCGCACTACCGCCACTATGTGTGCCGCATACTAAACATGGATTTATTTACATACTTTCGGTTTTTGAATTTGAAAATTTTTTGATTGTAATTGTAATAATGCATAGTTTTTTTTTGGACACTCAAAGATGCTTCACGTGTCATTATTCGTTCACTCTATACACGGACGTGATAAACTACTTTGGTAGCCACAGCTGCCCTGGGGCACACTGACAGAAGCGAGGCAACCAGTACTGTATGTGCTATCGGCATTCATGCACATACCAGACTCATTCTAGGTAATGTGGGTGAAGTATCTTGCCTAAGGACACAAACTTTACAGCCACAGCCGCCTCACTGTGGGACTTAGTGTTCCCAGAGTTCTCCCATCACATTACCAACCTGGCCCTGCCCTGCTTAGCTTCAGAGGTCTGACAGGATCTGAATTTTACATGCAGGTATGGCCACCTAGTAGTAGAATAGTGGCAGTAGTAGAGGTACTAGAGGTACTATTAGTAATATTGGTAGGCAAGGCAAGGCAAGTTTATTTATGTAGCACAATTCATACACAAGGCAATTCAAAGTGCTGAACAAAATAAGAAAGCATTAAAATCAAAAATAATCACAGAACATCAAAAAGAAAGATAAAAATATAAAATCCCTCAGTTGTATGCACAGCTAAACAGAACTGTCTTTAACCTGGTTTTAAACATTGTCAGAGAGGAGGCCTGTCTCACATCTTCAGGAAGACTGTTCCAGATTTTAGCAGCATGAATCTGAAAAGCTGAAAATGTTTGTAATGTTGGTAATTTTAGCTAGTTTGGATGATGGAGTCCCAGTGAGTTTTTCATAGTAGGTGAAGCCACTTGAAGATCTTCAGGCCGAGTCTTTCTGCACCTGAGTCTCCGCTCCTCCCCTTGGTCGCCCCCCTCCTTCAGGGTCACATGTCCAGGAGCTTGCACCTGTGTCACAGCATCTGCACGGGTAAGCCAAGTGGGATTCTCTACCAATAAAAACACGTTAGATTCAACTGTGAAGGACAGCTTTTTTTCTCACTCTGTAACTCTGGGCTGGGATTAAAGGAAAAAAATAAAATAAAAAGTAACTAGAAAGGGTCAGGCTTGTTTGTATCGGCAGAGATGATTGTAATGTTTCACATGTGTGCTGTTATGTCGCCTTGGGAACAAGCATGTGACAGCGACAGATCATAACAGGTCTGATTGTCCGAGTTCTACAAACACACTGGTTGAAAATCCATCAATCTTCACAAATCTGAGCCTCAAGAACAAAACCCTATTACACGAATAATTCACAGCACAAAACATACAACATTTATACATTTCGTCAATCCATTGATATGTTAAGTGTCAGATTACCAGCATTCTGAGTCTGGATTTGTTGAAAAACTGTTGCTTTTTTATTCACTGACAGATGTGAATATGTCTTCCTCCCGGGTGATTACATCTCAGCCTCGATCTGTTGTCTCTATCGCACATCTCTATATCTGCTCAGTGTTTTCACTTTATTCACTACCGTCCTCCATTCAATGCAATGGCACGTGGGAATGAGGTGTAACGCGCTGCGGCTGTCGTTCACTTCTCTATCTGCGCTCGTTCAGGCACTTTCTGCGTGCCCCATGCGGCGGACCATTTGTCCTGCAGTAATTCATTACCTGTTCACTCAGTGGTGACAACACCTCTCTTCCATCTGGCTGCTGCATCTCCAGGGGCCCCCGCCACTCCAGTTATAATAAGGACCACCACCAGGAAATACACTTGCTCACCTATTACCTCAATAAGTACGTCATAATTGATTTCTTGTTGGATTATGCACGTGTCACAGCATCGCCAAGAGCCCTTTTAATGAGGAGAGCTCTGTCCCCACCTGTGACTTTGTTCAAAAATAACAAGAGACAAAACCAGGCAGAAATGTGAAAGCTCTTGTCAAACATGTGAGATATGGAGGGGTTTTCTGCTCAGTGTGCGGTGCCAGAAAAGATTGTCTTCAGCGTTTTTCACCCCAGAAGACAGAGCACTCGCCCTTGCTTGTAATTATGGACATATTTCACCACATTAAGCAGTGAATTTATGGTAATGTGCCTGTAGTAATATAAATACTGGCTGTGCATGGATTTTATAACACTTATGGTGACATTGTTAATCACCTTATTTGTCTAAATAATAAGAATCAGCAACAGCTGCACATACCCATTATTAAACTATTGATTTATAAATTAATCATTATACTTAATTTGTTGTTTTAGCTAATTAGCATCTAGAATTAGAAAACACGTCTTTATGGCATTGCAGAATTGAATAAAAGTGTGCTTGAACAGTCTCTTTTTTATCTACACAGAGATGTTTACCTTAATCTTCCTTAATATGGCAAAAGATGTACGTACTGTATTTCAAAACATGTTTTTATTACAATTATTATTTTACAAATGTAATTGTGTAATAATGTGTTCAGTCTTTGCATGTTGGGCTTCTCTAATAAACCTTGATTTGCTAAATTGTACTTTTTAATTTTTTTAATAAATTTTTTTAAATGGAGATTTTGGGTAGATTATTTTTATGTCATGTTATGATTATACATACAAAAAATATACATCTCTAAAATGTTACTTTTTATGGACCACACCACTGGAAAAAAAATTGACACAAACTTATTTCCAACAAGTTAAACAACTCTTTAATCAAATCAACTCTAAATGCTGTGCTAAACTGTCTGAACTAAGCAGAGGCACCCTGCAGAGAGCTCTCATCAGCTCTGTGCTTCAGAGCTGCTGTGTGCAACAGCTGGACATGAGTTTAACACAACAAAACCTTTGATGTCTGTTGAACAGTATGTCTGATGCCTGTTTTCATCAGGATGGCAGCACTACAATAACACTGCGACATGTGGTAGACTTGTAAACACATGTGTAACAGGTCTCTACGCAAAATAACAATAGAAACCAGTGAGATATTAATTTGGCTCAATCATAATTTCTATTTGTTGGCTCTGGGAGTAAGAAATAAGACGGTATTGGGATGTTTGATGGTACTGCGTATTGAAAAACAAGAACCATTTGTCAGATAACTCACATGTGAATGGCCATTCAATACTGTATTTACACAAATCCTAGGACATGCAGTATAAAGTTTTAAATGTAATTTGAGTCATGTATTCATAGATTAATACAGGGAAAACAAAATGGTAAAATGCTGAGGTAGTTCAACAATGTGTTACTGTGTTGGCAAAGTAACAGTTTCTTTATAATGTCCACTGGGTCCACTGCAGGAATGTGGACGCAGAGCCACACGGTGAGGAACCAAAGAGGAAGCCAGAAGGACTAAGTATCAAAACAAACAAAGGAGAATGCAGGAGCCTCCTACTCCTCCTGCTCAGAGAAGGTGAAGGTCGTCTGGCTCGAGTCTTGGCAGAACAGTGTGGACCCCTTGTGGAGAGTCCTGGAGAGTTGTTGGAGCCCAAATCCCTTGCCAGTTCAGATCTAGCTCGCCATCTGACCTGGCCTGTGTATTAAACAGGACCAGCAATAAATCATGTGCAAATCAGGAAAAAACATAATTGTACTATAATCAAATAATCCAAATTATATAATAAATAATAGTTTTTTTTTCCAATTACTACATTTGAAATACAGTATCAGGAGTAAAATGCCCCTTAAATAAATATCAGTGTATAGTTTGATACACACTACATAAAAAGTAGAACCTGCACTTGAATGTCCCATAGAAGGTTGAATATAAATACACACTCAACATGAACAAGGACACATTAGAATGCATATCATTCGGGAAAAGCGCTTGGATTGACCCTAAAAGAATTCGCCGCTGACTAGCATCGGCACTAGCACAATATAAAAGCAATGGAGGCTAACATGCCAAATAGCCGACACTCACCAAGTTCCGCAAAAATCCGATTTACTCGTTGTGAACAGAGGTGCGGACCCGGTTCTCTGCTTCCAAAGATCCGTCACACGCAGCGAATCAAAATAATCCAGTCCTGCAAAAAGGTTTGGATCAGCACCTGCAGCAAATCCTACTTCTGGTCTACAAGCTATTGAGTGGCTAACACATTTGGCTATGAGAATAATATGTATTTATTTTAAGACAGAGAAAAGATAAGACACAATTTTCTACTTGGGTTACACATGCATGCATCACATACATTGCAAAAAAACTCCTGAAGGTCATATTCTGTTTTTTTTTTTTTTTTACGTTCTCCCTCTCTAAACTCAGCTCCTCAACGATGACAAGTGCAAGACGCCTAACACACTAACTACTATACTATATACTGATGACACGGTGGCTGAGTGGATAGAACTCTCGCTTCTTACTAAAAAAAATCCTCAAACCCCGGTCGGAACAGAGCCTTTTCAAGTGGAGTTTGCATGTTCTTCCTGTGTCTGCGTAGGTTTCCTCCGGTTTCCCCTACCACTAAAAACATGCACAAAAGGTATGAATATAACTGTGATTGGTGTCTGTGGAGTGAATGAAACGATATCTGAACTCTGAAAAAGCGTTTGATAACCTTTGTTTGTAAAAATTTGCGATTTAAATAAAGATTGCTTACTTTTTTACTACACTAGTTATGTGTCCTTGTTACTACAAACAGAAAGCACAAGGTGAACAGGAATGAGCTGAGGTGAGATTTACCAAATAAATCAACATTCTGCTCTCCACAGGACAACATGGAGAGCAGCTGTTCCAGAAATAATGTGATTCATCTGTATACTTTCCCTTATAAGGCTCCTAATACATGTTGCATTCCTTTAACCCCTGTGTTTTATCTTGATATTAGCAGACAGCCTTGGAGCGAACATACTTCCCTTTGTTTAGCTCTAAGATTATGTGTCTGGGATCCGTTCCAGCACTTTCTATTGATTAATAGTGGTTTTAATTCCACAGAATGCTGACTGCAGGCTGCACCACTCAGTGTCGTGAAAACATGCCTCTTCCAGCCTCATCGTTGGTGTGTGTGTGTGTTTTGGAAGAGTTAATGAATAAGTCATTAGGAGGTGACTATGATTGATGTGTTGGAGACAAATAAGTTTGGAGTTAGAGAGGAGGAAGTCAGGCTAGAACTGCAGGAGAGTGCATCTGTCTCAGGCATGATGTCTATTCACGTGTCGCTTGTTTATTCCACCAGAGAGTCTTTGTAGCGACTGTCTATGAACAACCAGCATATGTTGTGGTGTAACAGCTAAGCAGTGCAGGGTCTGTTTTGTACGTGTATGGGGGACTACGGGTGCCTCAGAGGGTTGCTCTAGCTATAAAGTGGAAAGTGCCTTTGTGTTTGTATAGGTGAGATGTCTTTGGCTGGTATGAGTCTGGTGTCGGAGTGATGGAGTGAAACCATGATTTTGCCTTATCACCACATTAATCTGCTTTTCAAAGAAATTTAGAAATGTAATATATGTGCTTTTGGAAAATATACATTTATACTGTAGAATATGCACATAGTACCAAATCACAATAGAAAAAAATTAAAATAAATAAATAACAAGCTGAACAATGAGAGCTCAGATCAGATATGCAAGCCTGAAGCTAGACACGTCACCCATATCCCTGAGTCTGTTGGTTGCGTGAATAAATGGTGGTGGTCAAAGCAGAAGCTGTTTTTCTCGCTTCTCTCTCTCTGCCCCCAAGCGGCTGTGGCTAAAGCAGTACTTGTACACCTCAGTGGAACTATGCATATCTTGTAGCTGTAAACGGTCAAACTTATCGGTCCTTATAAATTGTGTCTGTGTGTGTGAATGATTAGTGGTGGATGGCAACTCGATTGATCATTCCTACCAATAGTTTTGTCTGAATATTTCGACTGAAGACAGAAACATGTATAGATTTGTTTTTTTTAACCAACATATCGGTTGGACTCATAACTTCCAACCCAAAAACAGGTGCAATTAAAAAAATCTGTTTTTAGAGTGTACTTTAAAGGACGCTGGTTCAATTGTCCTTCTTCCCAGGAGTCTACCTACCTGTGTCCCATGATTATTCTACGCAATATATTTCCTCAATCAAAACTCATACTTCATCATGTACTGGCATCAAAGCTGCTATATAAACTTTGTGCAGATCTCTGACACTCTCTCTGCCGTAGATCCATCTTGATGAAAAGTTCAGGGTCAGACACAACATCCTCATACAGTTCTACACGACCATAATCAAAAGCATTCTAACCTTGTCAATAAAAGTCTGGTATGGTAAATCCAATGTATCATAAAGATCTCTGGTCACACTCTTCCATCCCTATAGACACTCTACAATAGACACATCACACAGCGCGCACACAACATCACCTCAGACGACACACACCCAGCCAGCATCTGTCCGCACTCCTGCCCTCCGGGAGGCGCTACAGGTCCTTCTTTTGTAAATCAGTTTGCCTGAAAAACAGCTTCGTTTCCACTGCCATTCGCTCCCTCAACCAATCCCTGATGTGAAATGCCGGAAATAAATGTTTATTTATTTATGTATTTGAAATTAGGACAGTACATATTGAAACAAGAAACACACAAACACACAGTTTGGTAAAAAGTACAAACAATGAGTCGACAAGCACAACAAAGAATTTTAAATAGAAGAAAAAGAGAATTCCACCAACTTGTGTGGTCATTAATAAATGATTCTGATTCTTCCGATGAACGCATGGAGCTGATGCTAAGAGCAGAGGAGGCCTTGTATTTGTCTGTAGATACTGTTGTCGACTGTATGTGAATTGCATAACTTTGTTTAGTGCCGTTAATAACACAGACATGCATATTTACCAAAAGAAACTCGACACTGATGTTCCAGCGTTATCCGAAAGACTAAGAATTAGTCCTGCACTACATCAATGGCCTTGATGGACAAGTGGCAAACAGAAAGCCAGTGGTGAAATAAAGCCACAAAAAGCAAAACATGAGACACATTACAGTAAGCTTGTGGAATTGGGTGCTCTGGTCAGATGGGACCAAAATTGAGAGGTTCAGCCAAAACGAAAAGTACCGCATGGGGGGAAAGTGACACTACTCTGCTCACACCATCTATCAAACCGGATGATTGCAGCGTCATGTTGTGAGGCTGATTTTCTTCAGCAGGGACAGAGAAAAGTGTCAGTTTTTATGGAAAGATGGATAGAATAAATTAAAATACAATTCCCATTAATTTAACATCATTTCACACAATTTGAAAAGCCTGTTGACGGGGGTTGGGCTTTTATTCCCGGACCCTCATGGTCACCTCTCTGTGGTGGTGTTCCGTGCATTTTTCCACCGGGAGGCGAGCCCCTGTGGTGCTCAGGGAATCGTTTTGGGATTCCCGAATAAGCAAAAGTCTGAGCATCTCTTGATTAAACTGCTTCCCCAGTGACTATAATTTTGCAACTATAATTTTGCTTTGCTTTCCCTTTTTGCTCTCTCTTCATTAAATTACTTTGTGTTGTTGTTTCACATAAAATGACACAATGAGCATCTTCAAATGTGCAGTCGTAACGAGACATGTGGAAAAGGGCTGAAAATACCTATTCAAGACACTGTACAATGACTTATTATTTTCTTGATTTGTGGTTATGCTTGGACTAATCTAAAATGCCCACTAGGCTGAAAATCTTCAAACACTGTAGTAAACATGGCTTCCCTTCGGCTAAAACAAAACAGCAGACGGTAATAAGCAGAAATAAAGACACAAATTCATGCAGAGACAAGATGGTGGGGTAACATTATTGTTTCTGGCCCTTTGGCAATTAGAACTTAGGCATAAACACACACGGCAGAGGAAAAAATGTTATATATTGTCCAAGAAAAAATCTGAAAGTTGAAGAGCTTTCATAATTATGATACAAAAAAAAAAAATCTTGTTTCTTGTGAATAAGCAGAAATTGATGAATACGGCATTCTATCCTTGAAGGTAATACAACATAAGAGTTTAGAATTTTTCAAAGCTTGCCAGAATGTCTTTTGTTATCTTTTCCGAGGCCTATGTCTGACAAAACAAAGACTGCAAGCATTTCAAGCATCTCAGCTGTACATTGTGTTTAAAAATACAGGCAAACTTTTTACCTATCTTATCTTTTTACCTATTTTATCTTTATCTAAGTAGAGAAATAAGTAAGTAAAACTTACCTTTTGCAGAAACAGTGTTTGTTACAGTGGACAAAAAGGAGATACTGCAATTCTTTGGGGGTCAAAAAGGAGTTGATAGTTAAAACAAACACAATTTTTAAATAAGATAAGATAAACTTTAATGCAAATATATCAACCAGTCAAATCCCGGCATCTGTTTGGCATCATCCTATAATGATACAAACTATACAATGACGTTACTTGCTTACTTATGATCTAATAAATGCAAACATAAAACTTTTCCATAGTCCACAATGAAAGCTTTGATCCATACTGGCTACATTCACCGTCGCCCTGATCTTAAACCCGTACACCTCCCCATTGTGCACTTGCTTTCCTTCGAGTTCCATCTCCCCGTTTCACCAGAGAAACCTTCTTTACGGAGCTCAAAGGGAATTATTCACAGTCTCCTCAGAGCTCAGACAAGGTTACAGGCTCTCCGTCTCTCCCTCTCTGCTGGCTCCTGTTCTGAACCATAATTGATTAGGTTAAGCAGTGAGAGAGGGGAAGGTCGCGCCTGCAGAAGCCCTGGATCTCTACAGCATGCATGGACAAAGACACATGCTTTCCATCATCAGCAGACAGTAGCACCCGCCTGGACCACCCGCCGCACTGTCCAGAGAGAACTGAACACTTTCGGAGCCATTAGGGAGGTCTGGCTTAAACGTAGGGATCATTCATCATAAATCATTCAGTTGCTGTCATATTAGGTGTTTGAAAACAGATTGGCAAGGAGCACTTACGTCTTCTTGTTTACTTTGAAGCAGTGAAAGTCAGTATTTGCCCAAATATTTTAGTGATGTATGAGTCAATCGAGGTGAAAAATCAGGGGTGGTAAAAGATGGCCAGAGTTTTTTGAGTTGTTCACATGGTTTATAGCAGTGTTTCCCAACCTTTTCACATCACATGGCACCCCACCAACAGAACTTGATACAAAAATGAAACTCTAAAACGGTTAGCAAAGTCATTCTCATCAATGTGTATCATATATTTGGAAAACTCAAAGTAAAGGTTTCTAGGACCACTAGGAGAAAATTTTTTGTTTCTGTTTGTGGAGTTCGAGTTTGGAATGGACTGGGACAACAGCTCAAGCAATGTGCAACAGTGAATCAATTCAAAACAAAATACAGAGAATTTGTGTTATCAAAATATAGAATGGAAGAACAGGGCAATTCTATAAATTGACCCTAATAAGAATCTGTCTATTTACTATGACATTTTGAATTAATTTATGCTTTATTTATTTTTCTCATCAAATTGAATGCACTTCGTGCTATAATTTTGTAGTTCTGAATTCAGTTGCCACATTCTTGTAATCGATTAACAGTGTTGTGTAAATGTATGCATATATATATATATATATGCTTGTGTTGTAATGAGAGGGGGTGGGAGTACATAAGTTTACTTCTTCTCATTCCCTTTTCGAGCTTTGTATACAATTTTTGACATATGTTATGTATTATTACTAACATGTATTTCTGTTTAATGTAAATACATATAACAATGCATGAACATGTTTAAATGACATTGTGAATATGTAAGCTCAAATAAATCAAATCAAATATATCAAATATTTGTAATCATCTCACATTATTTTGACTAAGGTGAAATTGGATCATTTCTCAGTAAGGTTTTGTGATGTTATTACCTTTATTTATAATGAAGCTGAACGCGCAGATTCAGACTGAAAGACCGGCCACGGCTCTCACCCATCCAGGGCCCGCCAGGGCCTGCCAATCACACAGCTCTGACAGCATCTTGTCAACTCCCTGACAAGCAAAGCGGGCAGTTTAAAAGCAGCCACTACCCGATAAACGGACCTTCCTAAGCTCTTAACACCCACCACCTCCCCAGCGCCTCCTCAGCTCCTGGTCCCTACTCGGGTTTCCGCTCCAGCTCCTGCCCTGGTCCCTGTCCTGGCTCCTGTCCTGGCTCCTGCTCCGCCACGCCCCATTCACACCATGCTTCTAGCCACCACCAGTGCTTGACCCCGGGGGGGTCTGAGATCATCTACAGCAGCAGACGATCTTCCCTCTGCAAGTGTCACTGCCGGGGTCAATGCGGCAAACAAATACATATTTTTTATGCATTAATGTTTCTGTCTTGGTCTCTTCAGATTTAAACAGTTTATAGCACTGTCCGGCCTTAAGAAGCTGACTGACTGCTCAGCCCTGCTCAGCCATCCTCACTTCCTCAATCAAAACATAAACATATAAACAATCTATGAACATATTTATCTCCATATTCAATCAGATAACCTGCACTTTAAACTTATCAAACACCCTAAGTCTGTTACCACTGGGGGCAGGCCCCGGCTCAAAAGGGTCCGTTAGCATGTGGGCTCACATGCTTGTAATCTGACTCCTTGCCGGTGGTGTTGTACCCGGAAACAGATTTTTCCAATGAATTCTTATGGCGCTGTTTTTCCTCTCAAAAATGACTTTACAGGCTTGTCCTAAAGTCGGCTCTTGGCTCAACGCTATACGTTCCAGATGCGTATCAATACAGAGGAGGGTATTTGCTTTTGGACCAGCCTAGTTTAGCCACTGTGGACTTTTGAATGCACTTATTAAATGAATAGCATGAATAGATAAGTTTCAACGGCGGAGATAGGCGTCAATCTGCAAATGAAAATGAGCATAATACGTATAGGCTCCCACAGTCACACACAAATATTGTACATGTTTTAGTTGTAGAGGAAACTGGAGGAATCCTACACAGACACGGGGAGAACATGCAAACTCCTCCCCAAAAGGGGAAATAAATGGTTTTGTGCTGCCACTAAAATAATGCTAGTTTTATATTCCTAATAACAGAGGATATCACAAAACTGTTGAAATTTCCAACACAGGTCAGAGAATCAAATAGTTCAAATACAAGGAATCCAATGATGACATAGAGCCATTGGTCCATAAGGGGCAGATGACCAATGTCCATCAATATTATATCCATAAAAGTCGTTGAATGTTGACTGAATGTTGTCCTTGGACCCTCCTGCATCGGCAAGGAACAACTTTAAAAACTCAGAGAAAACCCAGTGGGAAAACCACCATTGAGGGAGGGATCCACTCCTACTGATGGACGGGCTATGGATCCAGGACTCAAGGAATAGAGGCCATGCAAAGCCAGATGAGGCAGCTCCCAGGCGGGAAGGGTGTGCAGCCCACAAGTTTGGGCCGGGGGAGACAGTCCACAAACTTGTTTGCACGCTTTGCATTAGAGAAACATGCTTTTTACTGTGTGTTCAAGTTGAGATTGCAGTGTCACATGCCTTTTTGAACTTCTTTTCACGCAGCTGTCTTATGTCATCCTATGAACTTGCAATTGTTTCACTAATAATTTATGAAAATACATGTATAGAATGATAAATGAAACACATTCTTTCAAACTGTGCATTTTTATTTTACTCAGTCATGTTGTTTGAAAGGTCAGCTTCTGAGATAGGGGAAAGCGACACCACTGATAAATTTGGGGCAGCACCATCGATAAAGTATGAAATCCACATGGGAACAATTCTGGCTGCTTTCACTCATAACATTTCAATGGTATGTTCGTATTTCATATTCAGATGGTTTTTCATCTTTTATTATTAATGTTATTCTGACTGTTGGACCTCAGAAAACACAGCATTGTATATGGACAGGTTTTATGTAAATTCTGTATAATTCAGCACAACCACTCCATAATTGTTAGTGCAGATACATATTGGGATCAGAGTAACATTTTCGTTTAAAACCTTAAGTCCCATTGAACCTAAAATGATAAGGCTATGGAAATACACATTTTTGATTGGCCACTGTCGAGGGCAGCTGCAAGTTTCAAATTGACTTGGTCAGAAATCAGCCTGACTCTAGCGAGGCAATGGAAATACGGAATACACTAGGAACAGCTGCATGAGAATGAGTAGCCATAGCTCAGTTATAGCCTATGCAAAGTGTGGCATGGAGAAAGGCAGGCCAGAGCCATGATGATGAGTCCATCCGCTGTGAATAAATTGAGGTTGACTTTGTGAGGGCCTTGAAGGAAGCAGAATGGGATGGAATGTGAATGTTCTGTTGCCATGCCACTGGGTAATATTCAGGGGAAAAGATGAGAGGCAATTGTAGCGTTAGGTGAAGGAGGTAAGCTTCGGAAAAACCTTTGCGGGGTGAAGGGCAGATGACCCAGGTGGCAGTCATATCTCTGAAATAGAAACAAAATCCCATTCATAAGGCTAGATAAAAAGCAAGAGAGGTTATGTTTTTATGCCAGCATTCTGAGTGAAACAATAACGATACCAGACGTTGAGGAAGATTTGGACGATCAAATATGGTTTTCAAAGATGTAAAAATGAAAGTTGGTGAAAGAAAGCTCTAAAACAAGTCTCGCTACAAATCATTCTTGTCTCAACCAAATTTTTTACAATTCCAATGAAAGCAAAATATAGTCCATTTTCCCATATGCCCTCTTATTTGTATTTTTTATATGTTCAATAATTCCAGTACAGAATACACAGGGAAAAAAGGTTGCGAAAAGATCAGACAGTTAGAAATAGTTGTATTTATCATCCGGTTACTTTAGTATGACAAGCTGAGCCATGGGATCACACAGATATTTGATTTAACCCTTTAATGGCTTCCTCAACCATTTGGTGGATTACTTTTTGAGTCACTATATCTATTTGAAGCTTGGAAATGAAATCTACCTCATTGGGGCATCTCAATTTGGTAACATAAAAACACATGATCTGTTATTTGTGCCCCTACATCTTAGTAAATCATAAAAATAATAATTTATATTGCTGTCTTCAAAGAGTGAACAAAAAAGGGTTAGTAATGCATCATACTTTATCTATGACACGTGTGGATCATAAATTCAATATGTCAAGCATTTGCAATACTGGTAGCCTATCCACCAAACTAAAAGGTAAGGTGCTAAATCTTCTGCTTAATTCTACTTTTCTGCAATTTCTCCACAACAAACCACTGGGATGGGGTGGATGGCAATGGAAGAGTGTGTTATTCACAGCAGGTAGAGTGTGTTTGATTCTTGGGTGGCACGGGGCCTGTCTGTGTGCCGTTTGCATGTTTCCCCATGTCTGTTTTTCCTCTAGGTCCTCCAATTTCCCCTGCGGCTAAAAATGTGTGGAACTCGCTCCTTCCCTGAAAAATACATTTTCAGAAAGAATTCCCTAATTAAAATAAAGGTCAATACAGCAGTGACCTTTTTGTTAATTTTTTTTTTTTTTTTTCATTTGTGCCAAAATACTGTGCAGAATTCTAAAGGTGCACTACCGGTTGGATTGCTAGACAGAATTCAGAAGTGTCCAGAGAATAACAACCACTCCTGTATGTGTACATTACTCTTTAGA